TCATTCTGCATTATCAGAGGACTAAAATTACTTTTCTAAGATAATGCATTGAAAAAAGTTTGTCTTGTTGTAATAAAAATTAAAAGTACTGTTATGGTCCTTGAGGGAAAAATAATCATTACATGAAAAATCACAAAATACAGAAAAGTTCAGTGCTCTTGTGTTTATTCTGGATGTATGTGATTGCTTGTAATATAAATAATATAAAGCCAGTGTGAAAATGACTCTGCTGTGCTCTGTGGACAGGCTCAGGGAGAAGATGGAAATGGAGGAGACTACATTGTCTTTGGAATGGTACTCTTTCTGTGGGAGCATGTACCAGCATGGTCAGTGGTACTATTTTTCCGAGCACAGAGATTAAACCAGAATCTGGTAAGATATCATAATATCCCCCCAAGGCTCAATCTCATTTTTTAAAAACATGGAATATTTATCCCAAGGTGCTGTTTTTAGCAAAGTTTGGGGCTAAAATTCATAGACTGTGGTCTCTGCCTTCACCCAGTCTTTCATGCTGTGTCCATAGGCTCCTGCTGGCATGATAAGCAGCCACAGCTACAGCTCCAGGGCTTTCTTTTTCGACAATCCAAGACGGTATGACAGTGACGACGACTTGCCAAGACTGGGGAGCTCACGGGAAGGAAGGTAGATGTAACTGATCACTCGCTGAATTAGTATTGAAATAGATAGGTAAGAATAAATGTGAGCTTTAACCCACCCATTGAACAGGTGATTTGGCAGTATATATCAATACATACAAACATGAAATACTGTAGCTTAACACATTATCTCTTTACTATGTGGCAGGACATACTCTATAAAGAACTGTCAGCTGACCTGAAACCAGCATACCACCCTTTCTTGAAAAATGTTGGGAGTAAAGTGGTACCATATCATCTCAGGACCCCTTCTTGGCTCAGAGTCAGAGCATGCATGCACTCTCACGCATGTTGACAGGCATGGAAGGATTGCTGTGCGCTGTGTATCTGGTTTTATGTTTCTAGTGGAATTCTAGATAAAAAAACAAGTCTTTCCATATCCACCACTTAAAACTACTGTGAAGCCTTATCATTCACCAATAGGACTCTTTCAGCTTGGTTCATTTTCAGTAATTCCCTTCACCTAGACAAGACATTTAAGGTGGTTTTCATCTGTGAGGCGGTGGTTATAACTCAGCCTGCCTAATGGCTTGTACTGAGGACTAAAGGAATACATGTACATAGAGATGTGCTGGAACAAAGCACACTACATAATAATAAAACATTATCATTGCCAAGCACAGTCTGACACTTTTGAGAATCATATTTTTTGTGATATATGTTACAGATCAGAGATACTAGATAGAAGCCTTAAACTTTGTAAAAAGTTGTATTATTTATTTTAATATATTCTTTTTTTTTTTTTGGTTTTGGTTTTTCGAGACAGGGTTTCTCTGTGTAGCTCTGGCTGTCCTGGAACTCACTCTGTAGACCAGGTTGGCCTCGAACTCAGAGATCCACCTGCCTCTGCCTCCCAAGTGCTGGGATTAAAGGCGTACACCACCACCACCCAACTTATTTTAATATATTCTGTGTTGTGAATTTCTTTGGAAATTTTCTTAAATGCCAGTGTGACACCTTCTGATCACAGCACTATGTCTTATTTGCCTTATTGTTATTGTTGCAGTTTATCAAACTCACAAACTTTGGGCTGGTACGGCACCATGACCGGGTGTGGCAGCAGCACGTACACGGTCACGCCCCCACTGAATGGACCTGTGACGGACACTGCTCCTTTGCTCTTCACGTGCAGTAACTTAGACATGAGGAATCACCACAGCTTATATGTAACTCCGCAAAACTGACGGCTTTCCTACAGCACAAGTCTCGGACTGCTTTTCATGAATGTGTATGTGTATTCAACATCTTTAAAACCATCTGCATCAACACTGCATCATCTATTGCAACTAACAAGTCTGGAAATACAGCTGTGTTTCATGGTTCTCCATGTTTTGACCTCTGCATAGTGAAACGTGAAGTTCGGAGGAGAAGAGATTAGACGCTAAGGTACTTGATGACCTCAGAACCTCCTAACTTTGGGACATCCAGCGCACATTTGCATATTTGCACTTTTACCTGTGTTTGGAAAGAATACTCTGCAGTCCCCAAAGCCACACTTGAGTATTCACACCAGAATATTATTGTACACTAAATCAGGAGACAGTTTTCCACAAAAATCAAAACCTAGAAACCTGATGGTTGTACTCTACCTTACCCAGTAAGAGCTTTAAAGTATGATCAGTGCACAGAATTAAGGCTTAAAAATCCATTATTCTTTTTTTAAAAAAATCTAAAAAATATTTAACACTTAAGACAGTTTTCTAAAGCATGCTTTGAAAAACGTCCATTGAAATTACCCACTGTTTTAAACAAGTGATAGTAAAAATCCTCCACAGTGCTGCTGGTTGGCAGTGTTCTTTGGAAAGCCAGAGGGGTTTCTTTAAGAGGAAGAGTAATCCAGTGGAGACTGTGTGGCTTTGAGGACTGCTCAAGTGGCTACTTTGTGACTAAGTAGCAGTTTAAGCATGATTCTTCCAGAAGCAATAGCGACCTTTGCGTAGGCGGCTTTGGTAGAATGTCTTGGGACTATACAAGTTTACAGATGCATTTAGAGATTCTTCATTGAAAAAAAAAGTGCTAAGTTAAAAACAGTATGTTTTCAAAACGCATTCAATTTATCTGAAAGGAGATGGAGCTCTTCCTACCTACTGAGTCAAGACTGTCCTCAGGTAAATTAAATCATGAAACATTTTGCAGTAAGCTAAAGTGCAATACTTGATAAGATGTATAATCCCGCTTTATTTTTCACATTTTATACCTTGTATATGGCCTAAACCAAATTAAATTAATTCCAATCAATTCCAGCATTGAATTAACAAGCAAACAGGAGAAATGTTAAGAGGCTAATAACATTGGAATATTTTAGGATTTCATTAAAACTATCTTAAATATGATACTGTACGCCATGTGCCTGTGCACGGTTGTGTGGACTCTCGTGTTCACATGGACACACACAAACTTAACACACACACAGTAGTAGGCCAAGACAACACAAATTTTAAAATGCACGTTTGACCTGTGTCTATATGGAAAGTAGATGTTGAGTACCTCAGATTCCGAGGGAATGGGCAGTTTAGGAGGAGGTCACACAGGTAAACATGACCCCACACAGGATCTGCCAATTGCTTTGGAACTGAGACAAACACAGCTGCCCTCTCCTGTCTACTGTGACTAGAAACTGTCTTATTTGTACTCAATACATAAAATATCTTTCAGCTTTTTGATGACTAATGCAGCAAACTTCACAAAAGTGTGTATGAATCTTTAAAACCACATTGTTAATCCTTTCCATCTTCTGAGATGGTACAAAGCCAAATACTTTTTTCATTTTTATGAACAACGGATTTTAAATTCAATCAGAAGTATAATTAATATACATGACATTTGTTTGTAAGTTCTTACTGTAACAAATTGTTTAAACTTTTTTATAGTATAGAATTTAGCCTTGGTACTAAAATGACAACCTAACAATATAGTCTACAACCGTGAATTTCAGTTATTCAGTTTCCCAGAATGCCAGTTGTTTGACATTAGATATCTAACTCTATCGTCTTTGTTCATCTCTGGGTTCAAGATGTTTTTTCCTAGTTAAACTTCTATATACAAACCTCCTGATTGACAAAGTAAGCAAAGATTACTTAAACACTTCAGATAAAGTGTTTTAGTTCTTTAGCTGCACTGGTTGACTATACTGAATTTGAGATTTGTGAACTCATTAAATTTATCACTGACTCAAGTACTTTTTTTTGCTTGTTTTTTTGTTTTTTGTTTTTTGTTTTTAACAGGATGCCTCTATGTAACCCTAGCTGTCCTGGAACTTGCTATGTAAACCAGGCTAGCCTGGAACTCAAGAGATCTCCTGTCTCTGCCTCCTGAGTGGGAGGATTAAAGGTTCGTGCCACCACACCTGGCCTATAAAGTACCTAAATTCTTACCATTTGTCTCATATACATCTCACAGTACATCACCAAAGAGATCTACCCCCGTGTTTGCTTGAAACTTCAGAAGCACTAGCAGCACTTTAAGTTTGGTCTCAGAAGGAGCTGTTTATCAAGTCAAAGGGCTATAGTTCCCTGACCACCTTCGCTGAAGCACATGACAATTCCAGCCCTTCCTCAGTCATAAACTAGAAAACTGAATTCCATTGCTTAAGTGTATAATTCTACAGTGATTAGCAATATTTATCGTTGTATTTCATTTGGGTTGCTATTACTTTTGAAACTCTTACCACTTACTGTAGCTGACTGTAGTTTTGTGGACAATGTAATTTATAGCTAAAGTGACTTTTTTTATTCGTAATTGCCTTTTTATTGTTTAACAGTGTTTCTCAGCTATACAGTCAGTTTCAAACTGGTTGCAAAAGTATAGCTGTGGCCAATGAATGTACTTCTTTGTTTCACTAAATTATAATAAATGCTACTGTTAAAGAGTGCTTTTATTTGAAGGTATGTTTTCTTAATGTTCCTTAATGGAATCCATTCAATTTTTTTTTCAAAAGTCTCATTACAAATGAATTAGTGAATAATGCATTAAATCTGGATCACAACATATTATAGCCAGTTTGAAATAAAGCACCATGTTTTTAATGGCAGTGTTATTAGGCAGACACTTACTCAAACATTAAACGAAGAAAATTCCTCATGAAATGGTTTATAACATCCCCCTCCTCCTGAAAATCCTGAAGTTTGTCTGTCTACAATTCTAGCTATCTTTTCATCAAGAAACTCCTGTGATATTGCTTCCTCCTTTAGACTTTTTCCCAAAGTAGATCCCATTCATGACTGACCAAAGACCAAAGATTTTCAATCATTTCCATCTTTACTGCTCCTACCCTCAGTCTACTGATCCTCACTGTGCAGCAAAGGCAGTGAAGGTCCCTGCAGTGAGAAACAGCTGTCACGTGAAGCAATTTATTCAACAAACATTTATTAAATGCTCATATGCCAAATATTATGCTACAGAGATGCCAAAATGAATGAAGTTTCTTTTCCTGCCCCTAAGGAGCTCACATTCTAGTAAAGGACACTTTAAAAAATAAAATATACAGTACATTAAGTAATTCAATAGAGGTAGGTTGCAATTACAGTGGTGACCATAGGAAGGGGACAGGGATAATTTCAGAATTTCAAGAATGCATGGGATTTCCCAGATGGGAAAAAAGCCAGGGGTTTTATATGCAAATACGGTGTCTACAAAGATTTGGAGGTATACCAACTCTGGACATTTAGAAAACTTTTTAATACTCTTATCAGAGCAGTGGCAAACTCAAGAGGAAGTCTTGGACATCAAGCAAAGACTCTCACCAAAAAGCTCATAAAACTGCCAGCAGGAATTAGGCTAAATGCTTCTAAAAAGCCCAATCTGGTAATGTGACCCAGCAAAGAGATGGGAAAATAGAAATAGATAATCATTTGGGTGACCGTAACAAAAATGAAAAGATAGTGATAGAAATGTTAGAGTAAAATCGGCAGAACTTGGACACCAATAGTCAGGCGGAAGATAGAGGAATGAACTGTAAAACCTTGACAAGTGCAATGGTTCTGAAATTAACCAAGTAAGAAACACAAACAGAGTAGGTTTGTGGAGACCGAGTCCTTGAAGAAGCAGAAGGGACAATAGGTAGCTAAGCGAGCACAGCAGGGAAACAGAAGCTAAAATGAGACACTGCATGGAAATTATGCAAGAGTAAGTTCCAGTGACTTAGAGCGAAAAGTCTGAGGAATGAAGAGACCAGAAGAAAGACACCCAGGAGCAAGCCAAATACAAGGACACAAAGGAATAGACTTCAAGGAAGGGATTGCCAATTGTGTCAAGTACAGGAAAGTTAAGATTCCTTAAAAATTAAATTGCTTGTTAACTGTAGACTTAGAATCAGGTATTAGACCTCACTTGGAGGGACAGGGGACACAGGGCCAATCAAGTGGGAGACAGCAAGTGAATGCAGTGAGGGTTTCAAAAGGGCTGGCTTGTGTGTGGTGATCATTTAGTACTTCTAAGTCCCCAAGAAAACTGACCCAATTAGTGGGTTGATGTCTTTCACTTATTATGCAATTAGAAAGAAAAAAATCAGAGAGAAGGGAAAATAGGATACATTGTTAAACACAGTACATCACCATCACTTAAAGTATACTAAATACATATACTTTCCATCAATAAATATTAGACACCAGCTGTATGCCTGGCACTAGACCAAGTCTTAGGGACAGAGAAAATACACAGCAGTGTAAAGTGACATTCCTAACCATTACATATGTAAGTCCTGCATTTTCTTATGTGACGTCTCAACCTGTCCTAACTGTTCAAGACATTGTATGTTACATCAAGGGGGTGTAATTTTGAGGTATATACCATTTATAGTTGGCATGTGATGTATATGCTTAAGCCACTTCAAATATTGCTCTCAGTGGAAAGCTCCACTAGTAAAAGCCTATCTAAGTTATAGTTCCATTCTGTGGAGGAAGAGAAAACAAGTTTTATGCCTAGAAAACATGAATTGTACACCCTGTGATTGCACGGATCAAAAAAGGCAACAAAACTCAAACTTCAGGTGCCTGGGATTCAGGGTGCGTCCTTATTTTAAGGCTTAGAATAGGTCAGCTTGGATTTGTAAGGTTTGGTTTTTCCTTTAAAAAAGATGATTTTTAGGAAATTACTGACCATCACACTTAAATATTTTGGGTTAAATCATGATGCTCATGACTGGTTTTCAAACACCTAAGTAAAAACAGGATATCTATGTCTACATAGGAGCTTAAGCAAGGCCTGAGAACACAACTCATTGATGCAGGGCTAGCCCAGCATGACTGAGGTCCCAGGCTTTGGGGTAAGTAGTTAAAACACATGTGAACAATTCATGAATCTGAGTAAAACAGGTCTGGGTTTTTTTTTTTAACTGTTTTTGAAACTTTTCTGTAAATATGAAATTATATAAAAATAAAATTTTCCCCAAAATTTTACTATTAGAGGAACTATTATGAGAATAAATATATAATCTATTCATCTTTCTACAATGTTTAGAAATCTCCTGTGCCTTTGAATTGCTCTACTTCCCTACATACCAAAACAGCACAATCAAAATAGCTATTTAACTCTAAAAGGAATGTCTCATACCAGTGTATTTTAAGGTTGCCAGGAAAACTAAGGCCTCCCAGTTAAACTTGAACTTCAAGCAAATAATTTGTAGTATAAATAGGCTCTAATAAAATTCAACAAACTTACATTTAAAGGAAAACTAGCTGCTTATCTAAAATTTAAATCTAACTGGGAAGTCTATATTTTCTTTGCAAAGGAGGCAAATGAGAAAGCATTGGTGTCTGAGGCCGATGACCAGTTTGCTGCTGAGCCTCTTAACACTTTATTATCAAACACTTGTCATAGGTACCTTAGCTTTGCTTCTATTACATCTTCTTAAATACAACTCTAGTTTGAGAGCCTAAGGCAGTATTTACCTAGATTTATCATGTGGGAACTTAATGACCTTACTTTTGCTTAGTATTAAAATTTGTACATTACCAAAATACTACTTTTATTCACAGTAATATTAAACATGAACACAATTTTTAAAAATGTCATTTACTTAAAACAATGTATCTCTCCTTTTACAAAAGCAGCTTTATATAAACTTTTGGCTGAGGACGGTTATTGCAACCATGGTGCTCAGTAATTCTGCCCTTCAGACTCTCCTGTGCAGAAACAGGCGCGTTCCAACCGTCCTCCTCAGTGAACACCCTGTAACAAGTGCCTGAAGTTCTCTAATTCTCTCACACTGGTGGAAATCCTGCAACCAAGAAACATTTCACATAAAAACTGTCTCTCATAAATTTCTATTCATCATTCTACATTTTTAAAGTATATAAAAATTTTAAAGTAGTTTATTTCAATAAATTGAAAGGTACATAAATCTACTTATATCCTTTATTTTTTAATCTGGCAAGAAAAACCTAAAATAATATTGTTCAAACACAAGCTAACTTTTAATATTAAAGTATTAAAAATATACATGCATATGTATATAAATGTATATTTTAAATATTCAGAGCTATGTTGAAGTATTTAAAGCACATCAATATTTAGTATAAAATATATAAGAGCAACAGAATATTTATATATTTTAGGTATTCATAAATGTACTTGTTATTTATATTACTTACATAATATAAAATACAAAAATGTAAAAATATTAAAATAAGTATTTAAATGTCCAGTGTAAGAGTACAATAAGTAATATATTTTTCTTTAGTACTAAAGGTACAAAGGTCAAAGCTCGAGACCGTAAACTCTGTTCTGTACTGTATCTCTGCATGCTCCTTTTTAAACACTCTTTAACTCTGCACTCTAGTGTGATAAACGGAGAACACATGATTTATTGCAACAGGAAAGCTCCTGGGTGCAAGGGAAATAAATTCTAAGCCCAATTATTTCAAGCCCAAAATGTATGATATTATTTTTAAGTGAAAGCAGTGTCGGATGGAGATGGCTGCCCACCATGTGAGGGCTCCATGGCAGCACTGAGGGAAAGAAAGGGTCTGTCAGTCTCAGAATCACCACGAGCAGAACAAAGTGCCATCCATGCCTAAACTGTTGATGGATCTTCCCTATCTCACGCTTTTCCTCAGTTTTCATAGAAAAAAAAAATTTAAGAATTACTCATCTCTTTGTATAATGATGAGTTCAAAGAATTATTTGTGACTTTCCATAACCTCTAAAGGTAACACCAATAGTGCTTGCTTCAGCAGTGAACATACCAAAACGGGGGGGGGGGGGGGGGGGGGGGGAGGAGGAAAAGAAATGCTTTTAAATAATCACAATTATCTGGGCCTGATGGGACATGCTTTAATCTCAGCAGGAAAGCAGAGGCCAGCAGAACTCTGCATTTGAGGCCAGCTTGGTCTACACAGTGAGTTTCAGGCCAGCCAGGGCTACATAGTGAGACCTCATCTCAAAACAAAACAAAAACTATATATGTATGAATATATAAACTAATTACAATAAAATGTACAAATTTAATGGTACTCAAATGTGTCAGAAAAGCAAACATGAATATAAAAATCAATAGATGGAAATAATCAAGTAGTAAATATATGTGTGTGTGTTCTTGAGGTATTTTATCAGATCATATAATTCTATAACAAGGCAATCTTACTGAAAAGAACATTTCTAAGTTTATCTGGAAATACACTCAGGACATCAGACTAACATGGCTAGCAGAAGCAGTTTCAGTACATCAAAACTAACCTTCCAAATGCATTAAACAATGATACTATTTCTTGTCTGGTTAGCTGGAATTCATAACTTGGTCCGCTTTCCGGCATATTTGCTATCAGTTTTTCAGAAAACAAGATCTTCAGAGCAGTGCCCAGACCCTGAGTCTAAAACAGACATAAGAAAGACAAATGAGCACTCCCCCTGAGATCCATCCCATGTGCAGTCACCAGAGGCAGACGCTGATGTGGATGTCAGGAAGTGCATGCTGACAGGAGCCTGATACAGCTGTCTCCTTAGAGGTCTGCCAGAGCCTGACATATACAGAGGCAGATGCTCACAACTAGCCATTGAACAAGGAGTTCCCAATGGAGGAGTTAGAGAGAAGACTGAAGGAGCTGAAAGGGTTTGCAGCTCCATGGGGAGAGCAACAATACCAACCAACCAGAGCTCCCAGGGTCTAAACCACCAGCCTGGGAGCACATAGGGAGGGACCCATGGCTCCAGCTAAATATGTAGTGGAGGAGGTCCTTGGTCCGATGAAGGCTGGAGTGTGGGCGAATTCGAGAGTGGGGAGGTGGGAATGGGGGGGTAGGTGGGGGCACATCCTCATAGAAGCAGGAGGATGGGGGATGGGATGGGGGTTCTTGGGTGGGGGGTAGGGGTGGGGTGGGGAAAGGGGATAACTTCTGAAATGTAAATAAAATATCCAATAAAAAATTTTTTTAAAAAGACAAATGAGGGAACTGCTCACCAATGGATGAGTAGGAGCCGGAGCAGGCTTACCTGAAGCTTGCCCCACAGGCGGCACTTGAAGCAGCCAACACAGTCCATGATTCTGGAGATGTTTCTAAAGTGTAGTCGGAAGTCCTCCTACAAACAATGTAAGAGAATCTTGTAAGAACTGGTTCCCGAGGGCTTCCTGTGGACAGTGTACCACAGAGCAACAGAACATCTGCTACCTGTGAGAATCCTTCTTATCGTTTAAGATAATCCTCCCCAGATATCCAAAGCTACATACAATCCACCCCTCGTGAAGTTCTTTAAGACACAGAAACATTAAGTAGCAGGACTAATTCACATTCCTAGTAACCTGTACAGTTTGAAATCAGCCCGCCTCACTCCAAACCCACAGCAGCTGGGGAGACTATAAGTCATTTACTAGTATACATCAGAATTGGCAGTTGTGGGATAAAAGGGTATCACCCAAAAGGTACAGGGAGGAAGCATGGAGGAAGGTGGCCTTTGATAAAGTTAAATTATAGTTCTCCTTTCCTGGAATTAAGAAAAACACTCAAGATTTTCTTTACTACTGACTTTATTGACATCAGTAGTAATATATAATTATATATTTGCTACTAATATATAATTTATGTTTATATTATCTAATAATATATATTACTAATATATAATTATATTACTATGTGTGTAATATAAATATATATATACACACACACAAAATTAATAGACATGTATGCACCACCAAATTTTAAAAATATTCACTACAAATATAATTCAAACTCTCTAAATATCATCCCCCATTTCTGTGCCTGTCCTCTAGTACTATGCAACATTTGGAATATTGTTCAATTTATATTTTTATATATTTAAATACATATTGAATACATTTAATATGCATATATATGCATATGTATATATCCATAATATGTGTATAAATATATGTATATAAATATATATGTGCATGTTTATTGACACAGAGCATTACATTGTTTATAACAGAGCAGCGTGCATGGAATCATCTAAAAGCGGTATATGTTCTTAAGGAATGAAGAAAACGAAGCCAAGCATACCTTCTTTTACTCGAGTCAAAATTAATAACTTATCCTTCTTCCTGGTCTTAAGACTGAAATCTCAAAGCTACCAATAGTTTTTAAATGTATTTTAACTAGATTTATTCACCCCCTCCACCTGCTATGTATGTGTATTGTGTGTCCGTGTATGTGTGTTTATACGTGCATGTGTGTAAGTCAGAAGTCAACGTGGCAGGAATTGGTGATGTGGGTCCTGGGGAGTGAACTCAGGTCGTTAGGCCTGGCTGCAACCGCCTTTACCCACTGACCATCTCACCAGTCCTTAACGACCAGTATCTTAAGCAGACATTTGACTTCTTAAACTTGCTCTAGACAGTTTTCATGATTTAATAGGAAGTTTCCTTTAGTGTTCTGACTGACTTTTAAAAAGGAGGGTGGGGTGGGATAATCTCCCCAGGGTTGAATCCCTAGTTGCTTATCCAATACCAACTGATCAGCCCTGAATGCACATTCATACAAGGCAACACTGTGCAGATTAAACACATCTACGCTCTCTGCGTGTGTGTATGTGTGGTGTGTAACAGTGACAAAGAAAAGGAGACCATGAACTGGAGAGGAAATAGGACGAGGGCCATGGCAGAGGTTAGGAGGAAGAAAGGAACAGAGAAAATGACCCAACGGTAGTCATTTTCAGGTTTGGGGGATTTTTTTAATTGAAAAAGAATCATACTTTTAACTACTAGAGGGGAAGGGGCTTGTAAGGCCCAACTCCTCCCAGAGGGACTACTGACAATTAATAGCTGTTCTAGACGTCTACAGAATTTATACGGAGACAAGTTATCTAGAGAAGAAGCAGTCCACACAGGCTCGATGAATGTCCAAACAGATGTAAGTATGATGGGCCAGTGATACATGTTTTACTTAAAGAATGTCACTGAATGCAAAGTGACCTTTTTGGTTTTTGTTTTGTTTTGTTTTTCAAGACAGGGTTTCTCTGTGTAGCCCTGGCTGTCCTGAAACTCACTCTGTAGACCAGGCTGGCCTCGAACTCAGAAATCCTCCGGCCTCTGCCTCCCAAGTGCTGGGATTAAAGGCGTGCGCCACCACTGCCTGGCTGTAAAATCTGCTCCTAACAGTTCTGAAATATATAATACTTGACTGTTTATTCATCATCCTCCTGAGCAAAAGGCCACTAAAGCTTCTGCCAATGGGTACTCTGCTCTGACCAAGGTTTTCCACCTAACCCATCTCTGTCCACAGCCTCTCAAAAGCATCATTTTACTCAACTTCCAATAATATTATGTTATTTTACAATCGTCCCTGCATAGTTGCCAGGCTGTATCTAACCATTAAGTTGATTCATAATTACCTTTAGTTTTTGTGCTTCATTTTTATCCCCAGCAAAAAAAGAATTCTCATCAAAATGCAAAGGAAATGACCTGCATTTAAACAAAAAACATTCATGTTCATGAATTAGAAGAGTCAAAAATCTTGCTAATATATTTTATTTGTCAGAGATAAATAATATAATTTAACAAAGAATAAAAATCAGTAAAGCCAACACCAATGTAAACAAATACTTACCCTCAAATATAAATTCTAAGCGTATTAGAAGTCAGGCCTCAAACTTAAGACTGTGCAAATGAAAATAATGCTGGTATCAAGAACATAAAAAAATGTGTAATACATATGTCAAAGCAAAACCAAGATATTCTAGAAGCTCTGGGAAGGCCAGGGGATGCACACCCACATTCCCAGAACTCTGGAGGCTGAGGCAGGAGAATCTGACCAGCTCAAAACAACTAAAAGTTCAATGAACAGAACTACATTTACATTATTTTAAAGATGGTTTCCTTCTCTAACTAAATAATACAAACTTTACTCTGGATACCACCCCTCACCCATATGTTAATATATATGTTGTAATGTATAGCACCTACTTGATTTCATGGAGTATCTCCAGAAGTAACGCTTTGTTTTCTGCATCCTGAACTTTATTTCCAGTGAAGAGCTGAAAATCTGGGCGCTCAAAAAATGGAAGTACTTTAGAGAGAGCCCTTAACTCTATCAAGTACAGAAAGTACAAGTTCTTCAGCCTTCTTGGACCTTCTCCTTCAGTCAAAACCCCATCAAAGCGCTGCTGAAACTCTGTGACATTGTGGCCCCATTTCTTTTCCAGCCAAGTATCTACAAAGAAGGAACATTAAATGATTGAATTGTACAGTTAAGTAATTTTCATTTTAATTGTAAGGGACTACTTATACTTATAGAAGTCAATTTCACTTTATAGTTAAAAATACACAATTCAACCAAAAAACAGTTTATGAGTCTTTTCTTTTTTATTAATTTTTATTTATTTATTTTTTGTATATGATGAGTACACTGTAGCTGTCTTCAGACACTCCAAAAAAGAGTATTGGATTCCATTACAGATGGTTGTTAGACACTATGTGGTTGCTGGGAATTGAACTCAGGACCTTTGGAAAAGCAGTCAGTGCTCTTAACCGCTGAGCCATCTCTCCAGCCCCAAGTTTATGGTTTTTGTTGTTATTGTAGTTGTTTTTAATAATTTAGCCTTAAAAACTCTGTCATAAACCAGGCATGGTGGTGTACACCTTTAACTCAAAGCAGAGGCAGGTGGATCTCTATGAATTCAAGGCTAGCTTGGTCTACATACAGATTGCCAGGACAGCCAAGGCTACATAGTCAGACCTTGGGATCAAAAATAAATGATAAAATTTCAAAAATTCTGTACTAAGAATTTTGTCTTTTGGAATCCATTCTTAAAGAAACGGAAACAGGTATTTGATAAAACCAAACTTCTGAATATCAACAACCATAAAATCAAAATATATAATTGAAAGTTTCCTTGCTAAGCTGGAGGTGTGGCTCAACAGTTAAGAGCAAGTGCTGCTTTTTCAGAGGACCTGACTTCGGCTGGAGCATCCATCAGCATCCATGGCAGCTCACAGCCTCCTGTAACGCCTGCTCCAGGCGGACATCTCTGGCCTCTGAGGCACCTGTGCTCACATGCACAAACCTGCCCTCCGCAACACAAGTATAATTAAAAATAAAAGCAAACTTTTTTTAGTGACTTTCTGAAATTACTAATGAGTTTCAAGCATCTATTTCAAATCAGAGTCACCATTTTATTTCTGAAAGGTAAAATACATTCCAGTTTCAGAGGGAATAAGTTACTGAGGAAAATCAACCATGGTTTGATTTTCCGTCAGCATCCTAAACCATGAGGACAGCAGACAATACTGTACCCACTAAAGACTACACACAAATAAAGGCTCTCATACAATAACTAACTGTCCTATTGAGGGTATTTTAATTCCCACAGCAAAGCCAAAGAAAATTTCCAAAGTGATATATCTAATTTTGAGAGAATCAATAATACATGGAGCCATTCAACTATATACACATTCCCAGTTCCTACCGTTGCGAGTGACACATTCCCTGTTCCTACCGTTGCGAGTGACACATTCCCAGTTCCTACCGTTGCGAGTGACACATTCCCAGTTCCTACCGTTGCGAGTGACACATTCCTAGTTCCTACCGTTATGAGTGGATTCTTACTGCCCAATGGTCAAAAGAAGTCTCTTTTTCCCTACCCAGGTAAATACTGAGAAAATTCTAAGAATACCTAAAAAGCAAGTTAATGAAAGATTTCAAAAGTCACATACCTTGTAAAAGATACCTTGCACTCAAATGCACATTAATGCTTGCATGTAGGCCAGATATAAGCCTGTAGAATGCTCTCTTTTCTACACAGAGGCCTAAAAGAAATCAATGATTTGAAAATTAAAATTTATATGTGAATCTTGGGAATTTAAGAATTACTTTATGATTTAAAAATAAAAAACATTTAAATTTGTTTAAAAGTTTCTAATTACCTTCTAGCCAGCTGTAAAATGTGTTCTCTGAAATTAAAAGAAAAATAAGTCATATTTTTTTCATAATGCCAAAATGTGAATGTCCAAGTACTAAGAATTGTTCCAGCTAAAGGTCCAAATCTTATTTCTTCAAAGAAGAGAAATTTGGGTGTGGATCTAGGCTAAGTGCCACCCTGTTCCTCAGTCAGACCCTGTCTCCTGACTTCTTCAATAAAATGTTTCATATGTTATCACACTGTAGAATTTGGAGTCAGGAGGGATGTCACTCTGTGACACATCACTTGGCTGTCATGTTCACAGCTCCTGAGTTTAATCCCCAAGACTGCTCTCCCACAAATAACACACACGCACATGTTCATACACACACACACACACACACACAGGCACATACACTAAATCTAGCAAGATTACATAACTAGATAAATTGCCAAAGCCATCTATGCTTTGAAAATTCAAGACATATTACATACTTTTAGGTTCAGGAGAAACAATCACTATAAGATGATTCTGCAGATGGAACAGAATTCCATGCAGCTCACTACATCCAAAGAGCAGTAGGCCAGTGCTAAACACAATTGCTGATGCTCTGTGACCTAGTGATATCATTGTCAAAATACTAAAGCTTACTAATTCTGGCTTCAGAATTATGGCCTAAAAAAATAAAATGGGGAGAGGACAAGGAATTTGTAGAAAGGTTACTGTTTTAATTTTAAAACTTCAAGTAACAAAAACGGTCAGTAACGTCTGAATTAGCGAAGTACTTAACTAGATAACACAACTATTAAAACTGACAAGGAAATATAATAGAACAATAACATGAAAATATTGTGCACATTTTACAAAATACATGATTACACGTATACAGTACTTGCTACAGAGACGATAAATACTATTATATAAGGATCCTTTTATTTCACTAAAGTTGTTTAAAATGATAATAAACCAGCCAAGCATAAATCTATGGAAGATATAAAAACTATAAACCCAACTACATAAAAACTTCACGTGTTAGCCAGAAAAGTAACTAAATAAAAGCAAACAAGCTGGAAAAGATACATGTTACAATCGTGACAAGGGACTAATATCCCAAATATAACAGCCCATGGACAATTCAATGTTAAAATACCCATTAAAAGGTAAGTGGGGAATAGAAATCTACAATTAGAATAACTGATATGAATTGTTCAGTCATGCCAGTAACTAAGAGATGAAAATTAAAGGTATATTTTTATCTATCAAAACAGCAAAAAAAAAATATTAAAGCATGAGCCAGAGAGATGGCTCAGTCGTTAAGAGCATATACTGCTCCTACGGAAGCTCTGAGTGTGTCTCCCAGCACCCATGTGGGCAGCTTACAACTGCCCAGAACTCTACCTCTAGACAGTCTGACACCCTCTTCTGGCCTCCACAGACAACTGCATTCACATGTACACCCCCACACAGAGACACACACATAAAAATAATAAAAAATAAAATAAATCCAGGCAGTGACGGCACATGCCTTTAACTCTGGCACTCAGAAGGCAGAGGCAGGCAGATCTCTGTAAGTTCGAGGTCTACAGAGAAAGTTCCAGGACAGCCAGAGGTACACAGAGAAACCCTGTCTCAGTAAGTAAAGGCACACGCCTCCAAACCTGATGACCCGCCGTTAACCCCATGAACCCACACAGTGGAAAACACCAACTCCGCCCAAGTTGTTCGCTGTGCTCCACATGCATGCCATGGCAGCAGGTACTCACACACATACACTAAGTAAATAAATACATTTAATAAAATTAAATGTAAGAATGATGGTGAGATAGCTCAGCGGTTAAGAGCACTGACTGCTCTTCTGGAGGTCATGAGTTCAAATCCCAGCAACTACATGGTGACTCACAACCATCTGGAATAAAATCTGATGCCCTCTTATAGGGTGTCTGAAGACAGCTACAGTGTACTTACATATAATAAATAAATAAATAAACAAACAAACCAACCTTTGAGCCGGAAGGAGAGGGAGAAGGGAAGGAGGAAAAAATGATGTTTAGAAAACAAGAGATTTTGAAGAAAAGACACTTTGTGTTGAACACGCGATTGAGAACCACTGCTCTAAAATAACAAAGGGAGGAAATGAAAACTTATTTTGAGTGTCAGAGGAAGTGGACAGAAATACAGCTTGCCAAAGAACATACATCTGAGTATCAAGCAGAATGGATACATAAATGCATGATAAAAATACGTACCTTTACTTTTTCCTGAAAAACAAAACAATTTTTTGGTTATATTATTATAAATTACCTCCACCTTTCCCTCCTGAAATGCTACACTTTCATGAAAGTAGTTTAATGACTCTTTTAGTCAACGTATCCATATAAGTAAGGTCAGGAGAAAGGGCACCCATAGCTACATCTCTAGCCAGGAGTAGTTTAGGCTCACAGAATTCACCTGTGCTGATAGGCAGGGAAGTGTAGCACACTGTCTGCCAGAAGCTCACACATCTAAAGAACCTCTGTGCACTTGGACAGTAGTCTTTTTGTGCATTTATTATCCTAAAGCTATAACAAGATTCTGTTAAAGGTTTGTATTACCGCCTTCCCTTCTCCAGACTGAAAAGATTTATCCTGCGGCCTGGTTTTAAAGACTGTAAAATTCACGTTCCTCATAATGCAGCAGTTCATACACAGTTGCTTACTTACTGTTGAAACATAATCGTCACTGTTCCCTTTTTTCTTTTTGTTTTCGATTATTTTTATTGAAAAAAATTTTGATATAATACTTTTGGATTGCATTTCTCCCTCCCACAACCCCTCTCCAGCATCCCCATTTCCTCCCCACAACTCCCCCACATCATCCCCACTTCCTCCCCACAACTCCTCCCAATCATCCCCACAACTCCTCCCCATCATCCCCACTTTCTCACATATCCAAACCCACACCCTTTCTTGTTCCTACATTAGAAACAAAAATGCATATACAAATTAATAGGATAAAGATAAAAACAAAGATGAATAGGACAAAACAAACAAAAGAACAGAAAAAGAGCAAAACAAAACAAAATAAAAATCCCAGACAAAATATTACAAGACAATAAAGCCTCCAAAATCTACCATCAAGTTTGTTATATTTTGCCTGTTTTTCTTTAGCACCATCACTGTTTGTTAAACATATACTCACTACCAATGTTTTAATATTTTTTTAGATTTATTTATGTTGTTTTATATGTATCGGTGTTTTATCTGCATATACGGATGTGCAGCACGTGACTGGCTGGTGCCCACATGGATCAGAAGAGGACTTCAGGCCCCTGGAGCTGGAGTTATGATGATTATAAGCCATCATCTGTATACTGAGAATCAAACCCAGATCCCAGTTTGCCTTGCCAAGACAAACATGATTTATATTTTGTGATATCTTTTGTGTGTTTAGGTATTTAGAGGCACTGTTCTATAGATACTGTCTTTATATATGTGTTTCTCCTTCACTGTGCTGCTGATCAGCCTTTATTTAAATGAACTTCTCTCCATCATCTCACTTCCTCCGCATTGTTACAAACGTAACAATGTTTGTTACAACTGTATTATACTGTGTCCCTACACACATACCATGTAGCCTGTTTTCTAATAATCACTGAAATAGTTCCCATTTCCACTAAAATGAATAAAAGTGATTAAATATTGATAATAGCGAATACCTATCTATGAATCTGCACTTCACCTAATTAGATCAACAGCTTCCCCTGCCTCACCACATATACCTCTGTACCACCTAAATTGTTCTTTTTTTCCTAAGGAAGACATGCCTTATAGCAGTGCTTACTGAGTATGAAATCAGCATCTTTTCAAATGAACTGAGAAAGTAAAAAACTTACATATTTGCTGAAAGGGCAACAAAGATTATATCAATAAGCCATCCTGAGAGACATAGTTGGTGGTTTGAATGAGAATGCCCCTACACGCACCTACATTTCAATGCTTGGTCCCCAAACTGTTTGGGAAGGATTAGGAGGAGTGGCCTTGTTAAAGGAGGTGTGTCACTGAAGCTGAGCTTTAGGTTTGCAAAGCCCAGGTCATCTAGGTTGGGCTTCCCTATGCCCTAGACTTCTCAGCTACTTTTCCAGTGCCATGCACACCTGCCTGCTGCTACATTCCCTACCATGATGGTCATGGATTAACCCTCTAAAACTGTAATTAAAGGTCAAAATTAAGCCCTCTAAAACTCAATTAAATACTTTCTTATGTAAGTTGCCTTGGTCACAATATCTCTTCACAACAATATAAAAGTAAGGCAATAAGAATATATAATTTCTAAAAAAAAAATTCAGAAATCATACGTAGAAATTGTTTATTCTATAAACTATTATTAACTGAGAGGGCAATTTGAAACTGCATGTCTTCTTGGCATCTACATAATGCCTTGCACATGGTGAATAACCAGTTCTTGCAAGAATAAGTGGTTTTTACACTGCTCTAGACAGTATCCAAAATCAAACTTTTATTGAAATTATAAAATGTGTCAATTTCTCTAATTCTTTTAAAGAAACTGTTCAATGGGGAAAACAATTTCCATCATCATTTATCTAGCAACTTACTCCATAATTACCAGGCTCTATACTGAGATAATTGCTGCCCATATCCCAAAGCACCAGGGCAGATGAATACGTATATAAATAACAGAATGATGCCACTAGTAAACAGATTATAAGAAGGAAGCAAACAGCATGTGCTGCATCATAGAGAGCCAAAGATGACTTCCAAAAGGGAAGGAAAATGTTTGGGGAAAGGCAGCATTTGGACCAAATCTTGAATATAAATGGACAATGAAAACTTAAATTCAGTGAAACATAAGGCATGTGGATTTATAATCAGATCGGATGTGAAATATGAATAGAATTTAAAGTCTTTTACTTGAGGGTTTTGTGTGTGTATGTATGTGTGTGTGTGTGGTGTGTATGTGGGGTGTGTGTGTGTGTGTGTGTGTGTGTGTGTGTGTTATTTGGCTGGGAATCCAGCCCAGGGCATCAGCCATGCTGACCAAGCACTGCACCATTAAACTTTCCAGTTTTTTTTTTTTAATTAGGTAAATGTTTGGAATATTCATTTATCTGGAGGATGAATGAAACTGAAGGGAACAAATACTTAGTGCATTACAAAAAACAGATAGTAAATATATAACCTAATCTTCGTATTACACTGGTCTAACATCATGAATATCCTTAGAAGAATAGTTCTGCCTTCGTAAGGGAGAGATTACTGTCTAGAAACAGAAACAGTGGACTACTTGACAAACTGCCTTTGCCACTTAACCTTGCCTTCTTCTTCACTCTAACCTAAATCCACTAGTCAATAAACAAGAGAAGATGCAAATAACTCACCTTGCCCAGAAGCCAACGGCCTTTGAATTGTCTGTGGCCTACAAACAAAAGGATCGTCCTATATGAACATCAGTGTTACCAATAATGTTATGGTTATATCTGATTTAGAAAGTGAAATGTGTTATCAAGCAGATCTTTTGTCCCTGGGAGAACCATGCACACACACATGTGTGCACACACACAAATATATACATATACTTTAGAGCCTTCAGGCTTCTAAGTGAAGAACCAAAAGCATTTTTGTTACCCAGTTATCAACTGCTATTATACTGGTGAAGAATTTCACAGGAGGTGTTTCCCCTAAGCACTGAACAAACATCTAGGTTAAAACATCTCCATCTGTGAGCAGTTATGACTATGATACATTGTCAGCATAAGAACTAAAGGAGAAATGTCTGTGGCATGTGTAGCACTATGTGTAACATACAGCGAGTACACAAAAATGTCACATTGGAGCTGTTCTCGGAAATCAATTTAGGTTGAAGAGGATAAAATAACTGCGGCCACAGAAAGGAGCACACAGAGTAACAAAGGGAGTCTTAAGCCGTAGATGCTAATCTATACCCCACCATTGGCTATAGTGATCTTGGTAAATGAATAAAGCCTCTGATTCCCAAATTACTCCATCTACATAACGAGATCCTATAATCCACTCAGGAATGTTTGTTCAGTGTCTCCAATCCTAAAGAGGTCTAAGTCTTTAAAGAAGTAGTTGTTGCAACTTGTGCCAGCGCCCATGGGGAAACAGGACATTTAAGTTTCGATGTCCCAATCAATCTTTTAAGAACATGAACTTGATTTGCACAGGTCTAGGAAAACAATACATACTTAAAACAGTTTTCTTCATAGATGACACTCCATATCCTCCAAGCATCTGGCCCCTTGTAGCCTGTGTAGCGCTCAGGGTTAAGAAGTAAATCCACATACTCAGCATCGGGGGACTGTATGTCTGCAAGACACAATGTTTCACCAAATCTTACCTATTTCAGAACAACTTTTAGGGGAAAGAAAAATAAGGAGAAACAAACAGCTACATTAACTGTACACAAAGGTTACAAAACTTCCTGATCCTGTAAGTAGCAAACATAGGAAACTATGAGCTGGGTGTGATGCACATCTTTGACCCCAGCACTCAGGAGACAGGCAGGAGGATGTCTGAGTTTGAGACCAGCTTGGTCTACAACGTAAATTCCAGACAGTAAGGGTTACATAGAAAAATTCTGTCTCAGAGAAGGCCAGAAGAATGAATGGAAATCTGCGGCTGCTGGGCTTTGGGGGGCGAGGGAGGAAATCTCTAGGAAGTTCCAGAGACCTGGGATTAGAAAGGTTCCCAGGAGTCAACACAGGTAACCTTGGTCAAGATGCCTAACAATGGGGACATGAAACCTCGAGCGGCCACCTCCTACAGCAGGCAGGACGCCCAGTCCCCCAGTGTAGGGTTAAGCACACCAACCTACCCACAAAACTTGCAACCCTAAATTTGTCCAATCTAAAAGAAATGCAGGGACAAAGATGGAGCAGAGACTGAAGAAATGGCCAACCAGTAACCAGCTGGACTAAAGGCATCCACCACCACTCTTTTCACTAATTTTTCAAAAGTTCATTAGTCCACTACTATAGAACCATACAAATAATATCAAAATTCAAATTGGATTTAATTTTGCTTAGCCAATGCAGAGGCAAAAAATGCAAATAGAAAAAAGATACTAAAGAAAGAGGAACTAAAGCACTCAATAAATCCTGATCAAAGTCCTAATGCAGTCTCAGGCTGTGGAGTTTCTGCATCAGCTGCAGATTCAACATCATGGCTCAGTATTCTCTACACTAAAAGCACGGAAAGGTTCACAGTCCAGTATCATCTACAAATGGCGTTTTCCTTTTTCCTACATTTAGCTACTTTTGCAAAATGCAAAAGAAAGAGAACTATAAACTACTATAGTTACATAAACCTGCAAAATATAATGGGTAATTTTTTATAGAAACTATTTTTAATTTTTAACTGTGGTAGAAATACAGATAATGAAATTGGCCATTTCCACCATATACAGTGTAGCAGTAAGTTATACTCACAATATTGTGTAATCATTGCCACTTTGTTTCCAAAATATTTCTACCATCCTAAACAGAAACTGTGATCATTCAACAATTAACTCTCCATCCGCCACTCCAACATAGCTACTAACCACTAATCTACTTCCTGTTGCTATGGCATTGCCTGTCCCTGACAGTTCACAAGTGGATTCATACAATACTTGTCTTTGTATTCGCTTCTTCCACCCACCATGCTTCCAAGGTTCTGCCCCATTCGTTGGAAGCCTATTCCTTCTTATTGTTCAATAGTATTCATGTGCATCATATACAGCGCATTTCAATTATTTTTGCACCTGGTGATAGACACATGGACCATTTTACCTTGTGCCTCTTATGAATGAACATTAGTCTACCTGTGTCTGAGTCCTCTTCCAATTCTTTTGAGTTACACATCAAGGAATATCATTGTTAAGTCCAATGGTTCTGTTTAGCTTTTTGAGGAGACATCACACTATTAGAACTGCAATTTTTAAAATAATTGTTTTTAAAATTGGAGGCAGTTTCTAGAGCAGCTCTTGATAAAGCACTTGCCTAGCATCCAAGCCTGAGTTTAATGCTTAAAACACTGAATGGAAAGGAGGGAGGATGGAAGGGAGGCAGGCAAGCAGACAGGAAAGAAGGGAGGTTCGTTGACTGACTGGTTGCTTGTTTTGGGTTTTTTTTTTCCCTTAAGGCATCATCCAGAACATTAGCATATGCATTAACAAATGTCATACCATCAACTTCACAGAAACTGTCTGAAGAATCGTCATGCTTGGTCCACTGAAGTACAGCCTTCTGCGTCTCCTCACTTCAAATAAAGAAAACTGCGTTAGTCTCTTTCCCAGTTAACTGTGATGCCAAAAACAATGGATCACGAAGAGCAAATCACCTCAGAGATTCGTCCACTGCTCCAAGTCGCTCAGCTTGCTCACATTCTTCGATGAGGTTGGCTTCCTCAGAATACTAAATGGAAAGAAAACAGACTTACTACATTTAAACTTGATGATTCCATTTTTGTTTTTGATACAAAGTAGCCCAAAACTGACTCACCACGTAATTTCCCTATTTCAACCTCCTGAACGCCGGATTATAGGCATGAGCCACACAGCTTTAAGAAATTAAAAAGTTAACCAGGCTGGTTCTGCCACCCACTATCAGCCTGGGCTTCAAAGCATAAAATGGAATCTAAAAAGTAGGTGAAAGGCTTTTTTGCCTCTTGTTTTTGTCAGAAACACAATTTACTATTATGTTCACAAAATAAAGATCACTGTGATAAACGGTGACTAAGCTGTCCACAAGGAAAAGTTTCTGAGATACATGGAAGCCATGAGGTACATCAGAAGGCAGCGTCCTGGTGACTTGACGGTAAACTCTGGCTTTCTCTTCCCTCACAGCCGTGACTGCACTTCCTCCCATGCCATAATCGAAGGAACATCTTATACAAAGTATGCCAGTAGCTTCAGATATCTAAAGCATATGCTTTAACACTATTTCTTCATGATATCTAAACATGTACATTCATTTTTTTCCACTAGGCCTGTGTACAGCACAGACCAAGCTCATGAGACTTGATAACATCACCAAACTGGAAATTATTTCAGATGAGATTTGGCATGTTCACAGTGGTATAGCCATAGACTGAAAATTATTTCAAAAGAAAATTCAAAATAAATATCAAAGGGCCAGAAGATGGTCCAACAGGTAGACATGCTTGTTGTGCAAGCTCCATGACCTGCGTTTGATCCCTAAAGGCCATCTCAGAAGCCCGATTCAATGACATCTATAATCCCAGCATGCCTACCGTGATGGGAGGCAGACACAGGAGTGACCAGAAACTCAAGACCAGCTGGCCTTGAAGATGGTGCCCAGCTTGCAGAAACGAAAGGCCCTGCCTCCACACAAAAATATATACACACCCAAAACAACTTAATACATTCTTAATTTAATCAAAAAATATCATATGCCTATGTACACTTATTAAAACAAAGATTTTGAAATCTTACCTAAATTTTTTTAAGTTAAAATAACCTCTTAGTACCATTTAGCAATTTAATCAGCTTCTTAACTGCATTTACCACCTTACTAGGTTATGAAAATGTTTCTAGAGAACATTTTTAAAATAGATTATTATTTTAAATTCTCTATAAAACTGATCAATCTTCTTCAAAACTATACTTTATGATTAATCTATTTGAAATTATCAATAACTTCAGCTGACTATTCTCTGCAGATGTTTTCTAAGAAAATACTCCTTACGTACAAATGTGTGTGATAATTTAACTCATGTCTCGTAAGTTCTATCCTTTGAGAAAATTTTGAGTAGCATTTAACTTAATTCTGAAACGTTCTAATTTTGTATTCCTCTTAAACAAAATGATTTAATTCAAGCTTGGCCTTTAAATAATTAGGAAAGTGAAGTAGGAAAGCAGATGAAACAAAACTGGCCTTCAATAATAACTGCTAGATAATGGGTAAGTAGTTTTCATCTGCCACTTTTACTTAAACATCTTATATAATATCTTTAAATGAGTGGAAGCTATTGAATATGAACTAGCTTTCAAGAGCTCTCACTAAGGAGAGCAGGAGAATGGATTTTCCAACATTACCACAGACGTCAGTCACATCGATAAGTGTATGTGCACACCTTGTAGCTCGCAGACTTAATTCCATCAGGAACTTCATCCTGAAAAAGAACACATTTATTGTATCTTCTGGGAAAATATTTTAAATTCTCATGATGTATGAGAAAAATTCACAAGTTCCTGGAGACTATTTTTAGGTAAGAAGAGTTAGAAATTCTTAAATAATTTCTTTAAGGTAAATAAAAATTCAACAGATATGGTAGCACACGGCTTTAATCCTAGCAGTCCAAGGGCAGAGGCAAGAGGCTATCTGTATTTGAGACCAGCCTGGCCTACACAGCAAGAGCGATGAAATAAGTTCTCTCAAAAAACAAGTAAGTAGACTCCAAGGCCCAGATACTGCTGATCATGTACTTACTGTACCATGGAAATAAGAAAAATGCTTACAAACATCCTATAACTCTCATTGGTGTACAAGACAAATGCAGTATCAAGCTGATTAAGCTGTACCAAATATTCCAAAATCCTTGAGACGCTCTTTGGTCACTCTTTGGTCCCTATTAGGAAGTATCAGGATGAAGCTCAGGCTTGTCAGGGAGTGAGTGTCTCTGTGTCCCGCTTGTTTCTGCTCTTAGCATGCATAGTTCAGATGTTGTATGTATATTGAAAGGGTTAATTCAATTAGTGCTGCCCCTCTCTTACTAAAGCACAAACACAAGGGCAGAGCTAAGTTTATATAACCAAGACCTGGCACCCAGCAGGCTCACACAGAATATTCATCATTCAAATCACATGCTAATTAATGCTTTACCAGTCTCTGGTATCATTTTCCTCTCATGTCTCACAAAACTATATTGTCTTTCTAAATCACAGCATTTCTCTGCCAATCATATATATTTACAAAATGGGTATATTATAAGGTGAAATTTTCCCATTATCAGGTTTTTCTTTTTTAATTTTTAATATTAATTTATTTTTGGGAATTTCACATGCATATAAAGTGCATTCTAACATCACTTCCATTTCTCTTACTCCCCTCCTCCCTGCAAAGCCCCTCCCACATTCACGATGTTGTTGTCTTTGTTTTTTTGAGGCCCACTGAGTTTAACCAGGTCGCCTATAGGACCATGGGTTAGGAGCTCTATGTTAGAGCTAATGATCAGTTCTGTAAGGTAAGGTATTTCATAAGTTAATCCTGGACGAGTTGCATTTATGTGTAACTGAAAGCATGTTCCACATTCCCTTGACAAAATACCTGAAAGTAACAGTTGACATTTGCTTTAACTCCCCATGCTAGGTACTACTATGAAGCAATATTTACATGCATAAAAATAAATCACTTGAGACCATAAACCCACACCACACATGTCAAGGTGGTTATTACCTAAACCAAGAAACTAACACATTGCTAAGGATATGAAGAAACAAAAACTGTTGAGTACCACTGATAAAACATATATTACTACAATCACTATGGAAGACAGTTCTGTAATTCCTTAAATTTACAATTACCACACAACCCAACATATCCACCTGTAAGTATATAGGAAGAAAATCTGAAAGACTAGAGATGTGCCTCAATGGTACAGATATATTGAACAGCAGCAAATGAATGGATATATATATTATCTAATGGATAAATATACTATATATAAATCTAGACATTCAACAATACATTGATTTACTCAGAGTAGAACTTGATGTTATAGTATATTCTACTTAAAGATTTATTTATTTATTTATTTATTTATTTATTTATTTAATGTATGTATGGGTACACTGTGGCTGTCTTCAGACACACCAGAAGAGGGCATCGGATCCCATTACAGATGGCTGTGAGTCACTATGTGGTTGCTGGGAATTGAACTCAGGACCTCTGAAAGAGTAGTCAGTGCTCTTAACCACTGAGCCATCTCTCCAGCCCCTGATATATTCTACTTAAAAGCAGTATACTAAGTGAAATAAAGCCAGATATAAAAGGACAAATATATAATTGCCTCTGGCAGGTTCCTAAAACGGTCAAACTGATTGAGGGGGAAAAAAACAGAATGGTGGTGGCCAAGAATGAGGGGGGCTGGGTTAGTGTTTAAGCAGCATGGTTTCAGTATTCAAGGAGAGAGAGGATAAGAAATGGGTAGTTGATGACTGTACAATATACATGTACTTAATGCCACTGACTGCCACCTTAAAGTGGTTAAGTGATCAATACTGTGACACACAATAAAAATGGGAAATAAAAACATAGATATTTTGGTGGTACCTGGTATTAGGGCAAAAGGGCCTCATGCATGCTAGACAAGAACTCTGACACTGAGTTATACCCCAGGCTCAATATATGTACTTGTGAAAACCTGCATCATTTCAAAGTATAAAAAGGAAAATCTCTGCTTTCACAATACAATACTTCAAACTTCCAGAGTACAAACAAATATAAAGCTAAAAGACTGATTAATTTCTCTAATAAATCAAAAGACTTTATTACCTTGATAGGCAAAGAAGGAGCCAATGTGGAATCCCTTAAATAAAAATTGATGCAGGGCCAGCAAGACGGCTCAGTAGGTAAAGGATCCGGAACCAGGTCTAAGGGCCTGGGTCAATCCCTTAGAGGCCACACCATGAGGAGAAAGCAGGGATGATTCTATCAAGTTGTTACTCCCCAGGTGAGCCATGTGGTATGCCACCCCCTTACCACCGACAAATAATGTAATAAAATATTTAATTTATTGACTTCATAAAAAAATAAGGGCTGGAGGGATGGCTCAGCAGTTAAGAGCACTGACTGCTCTTCTAGAGGTCCCAAGTTCAATTCCCAGCCTCACAACCATCTATAATGGGACCTGATGCCCTCCTCTGGTGTGTCTGAAGACAGCGACAGTGCATTCACATATATCAAATAAGTAAATCTTTAAAAAAAAAAAAAAAAGAGTGTAATAACCATAAAACTTAATTTTACTTTAAAAAAAAAAAAAAACTGGAATGATAGTGAACACTTTTAGTCCCAGAAGGAGGCAGAGGCAGGCAGATCTCTCAAGATTTGGGGATAGCCTGGTCTACATAGTGAGTTCTAGACTACTGGGGCTACATAGTAACAGATCCTGTCTCAATAATAATAATAATAATTATTATTATTGTTATTATTATTTATAATAATTTATAAGTATAATATAGTTATTATTATTTATAATAATTTATAAGTATAAGCATAATATAAATAAATTATAAATAGTTATTGTTGTTATTCTATTACCATTGTAAGTATAATTCAAAATAGATTTTACAGGGCTGAGAGATGGCTCAGACAGTAAAATGCTTCCCACAAAATCATGAGAACCTGAGTTCAGGTCCTCAGCATCCAAGTGAGAAGCCAGGCAGGAGGCAGCCCCTGTAATCCCAGTGCTGAAGAGGCAGCAACCATCTTGGAATCTTCCCATCAGAAATACAGTGGAAAGCGACAGGTAAATTTTGTATTTATAAGTATAGGTTTATGATCTGTAAATTGAATGTTATATTTAAGCAGAATCAAATTATAGTTTGATTAATGCTGGCCTTTTCTGAAAAGTTATAAAGAAGGAAGAGAGCTGGGCAGTTCTTACAGAATGACAGGGTTTGACAGCACAGTCTCTTCTTCCACACTGGTTGATGTCATTCCAGAAAGGACATGGCTTCTTCAAGTTTACCTATAGAAAAATAGAAAGTTATAAAAATATAAAGCCCTGAGCATATAAGTTGACTGTTAGTGTCATGATCACGTGTTGTGGTTATGTTTTATCCAAGACTACACTGTTTTCCCCACTGTCAAGCTTCCTTGTGTGTATAAATGTGAGTTGCCAATAAGCCTGGTGAGAGAGGCATACACTACCACTAAACAGACCCTGGAGAGATAGCAGCGAGGAGTCAGGGCTCAAACCAGCACCACACAGCTCCTATTTAAGCAAACAAACAGGAAGGAACCGTGGACCAGGTTTACCAAGCTCTTTCAATAATGTGCTCACTGATCGACTACTGTTAAGTGTTTAAGAAATCCAAAAGTGCCACATCTCAAAATATTTATCACATGAAAAAAAAAAGAAAAGAAAAAAAGAAAAAAATATTTATCACAGTTGGAGCCCATCTGATGGCTGACAAAACAGTTTTGTGAACAATATAGCAATTTCTATTTTACCATTCTATTTCAATTTAACCAGTCAGTTTCTACCTCTAGAAATTACTGAAGTTAAAACATCAGGGCTGTGGGGAGAATTCAGTTGGTAAAGCATACAAGGGCATGAGTTTACTTCCCAGAAAGCAAGCACAGTGGCTTACGCTTGCAGTCCCAGAGCTGGGGAAGCAGAGACTGGATTACAGAAACCAACCAGTCTAGCCTATTGCCAGAGCTCAGGCCACTAAGAAACCAAGTCTGGAAAAGACCAATGGACTGTGCCTGAGAAACAACACCCACAGCTGTCCTTGGGCCTCCTCATGTACAGGTGCTTGTATGTATACAAACACACACACACGCACACGCACATGCACACGCACATGCACACAAAGTCCAATGGGTGGTTTCTCAAGCAAACAGTTCATTGGTGAACCAAGCTTTCCTACTAACTGTATACATTTTAAGAGTCAGAGGCAGCCCAGCAGGTCAAAGCACATGCTGCATAAACTTGACAACCTGGGCTTCAACCCCAGAACTCACAGAAAGGTGAAAAGCATACAAAGTGGTCCTTTTACCTCCACAGGCATGCCATGGCATATGCACCTGCAGGTACATACACACACACACACATAAACGCATACACATGCATACACACACATTAAATTTTTAAAATTTTTTTACTTAAACTTTGTACACATTTAAATAATTACCAATTTCAGTAAAAGTACTGAAGTTTAGTCATCTAAGGAAGTATAACCATCCATTATAGCATACTTATATAAAAAAATTAAAAGTACCTTGTAATATCTAAAGTAGTCACTTTCAAGAAGCTTTTGTAGTCTTGGGAAAAGTCTGTAGTTATTAAACTTATCGATGGTCTCAACATCACAGGTACAGTCATCCAGGTAACCACTAACCTGTCATAACAAAAAATGAAACACTGGGTTTAAAGGTCCCTGATGCCACAAGATTTCTCTCCTTACATAGTTACCATTTTTAAAAGCCTGCTACTCTGCAACATTATCTTCCCATCCTCTCTGGGTTCTCTAAGATAGAGAATGCCAAAAACCCAGCAATGCTGTTGCTCTTCTTGTATCTCCAGAGCAACACAGTGGCACTTTTATAAGCTCAGCTGAGCTGGTAAATACACAGAACTGGACTCCAAGCAACCACCTTGTAGCAATACCTTCCAGGACTCAGCAGACCTGACCAAAGGTTGGCACTGAGATTAAAGAGAAAGAGATGTCTCCTTGTAGCTGGACCAAGAAACAAGGAAACTCAAATCATATTTCATCACATGAACTGAGGAACACACACAGCAATCAGAAGAGAGAAAGATACATGCAAAGCGGGGGGTGGGGGGGCAGAAACAAATGCATCTGAATCTTTAGAGCCCATCTCCCACTTACACCTGGCTATCTGGAGCAGGGCTCCATTCTTATTCTGAATTTTCCTTGGACTGTGTCTGTGTCTCTGTCTCTGTCTCTGTAACTGTCTTCCTCTTGTTTTCTAAGCCTATATAGCTCAGAGACAGCTTAGTGAATATATAAAATAATACTAATTAATAAAACAAACAGTAACACACTTTTAAGACTCTGACAACTCCAACTACTGGGCAACATTGGGATAATAAACTTAGCACAAATGGTTAGCACTGATGTCATGACCCTACCTCCTAGATCAGTCTATTGACTTTATATACCAGGATGAAATATACCAGGATGAAATGAGAATTTACAGTCAGCCAATATTATTGGCTGTAAAACTAAAAGTTTTAGGCATTTGTTTGAAGCTAAGCACACTTAATAAAAGTAATGCAACATTAAGTAACAAGCACCTAATGGTTCAAGAAAGAAAATGCATCGCCGGTGTGCTATGTTTGCACTGTAAACGACATTGAAAATGAGGAAGTTCCCCAACCCCTCACTGAGGAGCTATTGACAGCTGCCACGGAGAGTTTTTAGGGATGTAGTCCCTGGTAGGTTGACCATGCTCCGGTGGACAGCCACACACCCATACATATAGAACAGCACAAACTGATCTAGGAGAACAGTTTTTTAAAAAGGATAGCCAGGCATTGTGCACACTTTTAATCCCAGCGCTTGGGAGGCAGAAGCTGGCAGATCTAAGTCAGCCTGACTGGGAGGGGTAGGGAAAGGAGTGCGGATAGATAGAATCAAAATGCATGATAGACATGTATTAACTGATATCATATAAGAGGAAGGAAGCAAGGGCTGGAATGATGACTCAGCAGTTAAGAACTTGTATTTCTCTTCCAGAAGACCCAAGTTCCCAACACCCCTGTCAGGTGGCTCAGGCCACCTGTAAGTCCAGCTGTGCTAGATCCAATGCCTTCTTCTGGCCTACTCAGGCATGACATTCACATGCACATACCCACAGATATACATACAAACAAATAATTAAAAACATTTTTAAAAAATAAGAAAGTGGGGGCTGGAGAGATGGCTCAGCAGTTAAGAGCTCTGACTGTTCTTCCTGAGGTCCTGCAACCACATGGTGGCTCACAACCATCTGTAATGGAATCCGATGCCTCTTCTGGTGTGTCTGAAGACAGCTACAGTGTACTCATATACATTAAATAAATAAATCTTTTTTAAAAAATCATTTAAAAAAAATAAGAAAGTGGCTGGGCAGCGGTGTCACGCGTCTTTAATCCTAGTATTCGAGATGGCAGAGGAAGGCAGGTCTCTTAAGTTCAAGGCCAGCCTGGTTTACAGAGTGAGTTACTAGACAGCAAGGGCTACATAGAGAAATATTAAAAATAAGAAAACAAGTAAGTAAAACTTTATTAAAATACTGAATTAATATTTACCCTTACTATGTGAAATCCTACACTATCTTCATTTAATAACATTGAAAACCTGTAATGGGGGAAGGGTGGGAGGTGGAGAGATGGCGCAGCAGTTTGCTGATCCATGTAACCCATCATTTCTACTTTCACTCCTTTTGAGTTTGTAAGGATAAAAATCACAGCCGGGCGGTGGTGGCGCACGCCTTTAATCCCAGCACTTGGGAGGGAGAGGCAGGCGGATTTCTGAGTTCGAGAGTTCGAGGCTAGCCTGGTCTACAGAGTGAGTTCCAGGACAGCCAGAGCTATACAGAGAAACCCTGTCTCGAAAAACCAAAAAAAAAAAAAAAAATCACATACTATTTCTAGCCTTTGCTTTGAACTGTTACAAAAGAATGACATAGAAACATCAGGAAGGACAAGGCTCAGCAAGTTACAAAAGGCAAACCAGAAAGGCCTGAGCTTGAGCCGACCTGAGCTGAAGCCACCTGTCTGTCCCAGGAGCTCACTGAAGGTGGAAATAAGCCTATAGAATATCACTAAGTGCTATCACTTTCAGGACACTCTTGTGTGCTTTTCTCCCACTGTGGGTCAACTGCCTCTCCTGGGAACTTCCAGAACTTAGTACTGCAGTATTAGAATTACCTCACTACCCTGGCTGTATCTAGCTCATCAACTAGAGCAGCATTTTTCAACCTATAGGTCAAGAACCCTTTAGGGGCCATACATCAGATATCCTGCATATCAGATATTTACATTACAATCCATAACAATAGCAAAATTATAGTTATGAAGTAGCAATGTAGTAACTTCATGGCTGGGGGTCACCTCAACATGAGGAACTGTATGAAGGGGTCACAGCATTAGGAAGGTTGAGAACCCTTTGAACTAGAGTATAAAATCATTGAGACAAAAGCATGTTTGTTCACCTTTGTGACCCCCGCCTGTGGCCACGTGCTTCTGGAAAGGACACAGTAGATCGCAGTGATCATTCCTGGGCTGGGCAGGGGTGAATGGATGAGTGCTGCCTGCTGTTCCTCCTATCTGAGCTCAAGAACACATGCTGCAGCAGCAAACTCACAAGGCAAGGAATGAACTCAGTAAGGGTGACCCTTCGCACCTCACTGTCTTTCTGTCCATATGGCAGACTATACCAGAGGAAGCCCAGAGCCAGGAAGGAACACAAGGTCCCCCAGAGCAGAGGTGGCACACAGCCAGGAGACTGCAGAGGGACAAGAGGCAGCACAACGGGAGACTTTTAAACCTTCTACCCTTCATGTGGAATAAGCCACATTCTCCACTACAACCATGGGTACCAGGGTGGCCAAGGAAACAAAATAAAAACAACAGTGTTTCAACAGAGCACTCAGTGAAGACACAAAGACACTTGGAAATCCAAGCCAACTGACAGGTGAGGTATGCTGGCCAAGAGGTGAGGCAGAAGCCCATTCTTGGAAGAAGTGTGGCAGGTGTGATGTCAGCTCAGGTCTAGAAACTGGAGAATTTGGCAGACTACCAAAGCAGTCACAGGCAAGGGTTATGGCAGAAACGTCACTAATACAACCCACAGACTCTTAGAAACAGAAGAAAAATCCCAGGACAGCGACAAATGTCAATCAAACACTCACAGCCTGGTGCTATGCTTTGAAACATGCTTCCACAGCTTGGGGACCCACGGTGCCATCCCCCACCACCAAGTACAGCCCTGCCTGTCACTGGAATCTAACCTTTGGAAAAAAAATACATCCTTCTTCCCCTCCCAAAGTGACTAATACCTACTAAAATCTCAAGTGTATTGCCCTAGACTTCAAGTAATAACAGTTTGGGGTAGGAAAATAATAAAGGTAAAAAAGGCCCACACTGAGAGACAGCAGGTAGACAGAAGCCTAGCCCATAGCCACTCCCATTTGAAGACCTAGCCTGTGAGAGGTGCTAAGCCTCTGGAGGTGCCCACTGCAAGCTCCCAAAGGACAGCGCCACCACAGCCACTGTGCTCTGCAGTTAGGCCTATCAAGGTCTAAGGCCCACCTCTGTCACTGTGTTTTCCATAAAATAATAATTTCCAACTCACAGAGTTGGTATCAGAAAAGTAAAGAGAATAAATGCTTGATTGTTGAGCATCACTGCTAACCCAGCTCTCCTACTCTCCAAAGCAGCCCCCATTCCCTAATGAGGAAGAAAACATAGGCCTAGTTTGCAAAGTTTCTAATACTGGATTATTCCAGTTGTCCCACTGGAATGAGGGAACGGATTATGGAAAACTGGCATGGGGTGGAGGAAGGAAGGCTCAGTTACATTCTCCAGTGGCTACAGTCCATTTAGTCAAATACAATAGGCTAAAAAAAGATATGTGTGATCACAGACATACATAAATATAACCTGTTGCATCGTCTTTGTGATTGGTATGTAAACAGTTTGAAGGCTGATCACTCTGTGTAAGGAGCTTATTTTGCAGGGAGAAGTATTTTTTTAATTTATAATGAATGACAAAACAAACTGAACAACCAACCAAAAAAAAAAAAAAACCCTCCTCATTGTCCTGTGTACAATACTAAGAAAGCCTGCTCCTACCATAGATCAGGATCTTGTTCTCATTCCAAGTACTTACAGCTGTATTTCCTGTATGTGTTTCTTATGAAATGCATTTGTCCAAGCATCAATTAAGGAAAAGAAAAACAGATGGAAAAAAAAGAAAAGGAATTCAAACTAAAAATAAATAACTAAAATTATCAGTATTTTCAGATCTTATGCAGTACATGCAAAAACTTGAGAACTCTGCCAAAAGAAAAAAAACTCAAATTATTAAATAAAGTCATAGGATAAAAAAATCAAATCAGTTGTGTTCTAGAAACTAATAAAACAGACTATCAGGGAAAAAAATAAACAAGAGAACAGTTCCATTTACAATAGCACCAAACAAATAAAGTCCTAAGACATGCAACCAAAGTGGAAGAAGGGTTGGTGAGCTTTCACTGAAACAGGAGCACTTGCTTACACACCATGGCTGGCATGTAAACACCAAGGCATGATGGAAACCAGTGTGGGTGCTCCTCAAGAAACTAAAAACATAGCCTGATCTAGCAATCCCTCTCTGGGTACACAGCCAAAAGAAATAAAACTACTGGCTCAAAGAGACATCTGCTCACCTGTGCTCCCTGCATCACACAATATCCAGGATACAAAAGTATCTAAGTATCTGTCAAGGCAAGAGTGGATAATATGACAGGCACACCACACAATGGACGAGTGGATAAAATGACACACACACACACCACACACACACACCACACAATGGACTGCTATTCTGCCCTTTGTGGAATCCTGGATGAATCTGGAAGGCATAATGCTAAGCAAAATGAGCTAGATACAAATGTTTCCTCACAGAGCTAAGGATATCAAGGACACTGAGGCTAGAAGCGGGAGATGTGGGGAAATACAAGGTAAATAGGATCTGGGCTCTGAATGAACGGCATGGCGACCATAGCTAGTAATAGTGTACACTTGTTAAGAGAATAGATCTTCAGTATTCTCACCACATGTGCACCAGCTGGGCGATTATGACATGACAATTAGCCTGATTTTAACCTCACAGAGTATCTGTGTATAAAGACATCTTCCAGAACATACCACCCTACTGCTTCTCAATAAATAAATGTATGTATTCACTCAGGTGGCGGAACATCACTACTGCTTACCAGACTTAAAAACAATAAACAGCTTTAGTGAAAAGGAATATACACTCATTTTTAATTAAGTGCAAAATATATTCATATGTCCTCCATAACAATCTTCAATATTTCTTCTGAGATTGTATCTTTAAAATATATTACACTACTTGTGCCTAAGGTTTCATTACACTCATTTTCTCTAACGATGCATAATTCAACATAACTGTCAGAAAATAAAAATAACAAAATGGAAGGACCTCTCATCTAAGTCTGTATTTGTGATAACAAATATTATTTTGGTTCAAAGAAGGAGTGCTTCCTGCATGTGGGATTGTTTACTCAAATGGGGATAAGAGCCAACTTTCTATATAAGTTAATAATATTATTAATTAATGTTTTCATAGGATAATAAAGAGCAAGTGGTTATAAGAAAGATTTACAAGTCCCAAACATTAACCATTTTGAGTAATGAACAGTAAACAATAAAACACTATTATGAAAAGAGTTCATAGAAGTTAGAGAAATGCCTCAGTGGTTGCTCTTACAGAGGACCTGTGTTCAATTCCCAGCATCCACATAGCTCACAACTATCTAACTCCAGTTCCAGGGGATCCAACGCCCGATTCTGACCTCCAGTGACTCCTGGCACTCACATGATGCACATACATACATGTAGGCAAAACAGACATACAATAAAGCAAAATTTTTTTTAAATATTTACAACATACAGTGAAAATCATGTTAAAAGGACTTGAACCCAGGACATCTATGTAGCAACTGGGCAAGCCCAAAGATTCATTACATCCATCGCCCATCAAAAAGCCCAATCCCAGCAAGCTATGCAAACAGATGGCTAAACTAAATGATTTTTTGTATATCTTACACTGAAATCTCCCTAACATCTGCTGAGCACCAATCAAATATCAGGTTTGAAAACCATTTTTTAAACTCAGTTTTGATCTCAACATGTAATCTCAACAAGCACTAGGGACTTGTTGCAGTAACTTTCTAAGGTCAAACAGTCACAGACTGCTCTGACTCAGCACCTGTGAACTGAACCCCATTACAAACCCGTGCAACAAGGAGGTGGGTGGAGATGGGGTAACCCAAGGCAGATGTGGTAAGAAAGACCAGCAGCAGGAAGAAAAACAAAACAAAAAAACCCTAAGACTAGTTTGACTATTTCTGTCATTAGCTAGGCTATACTTTGGAAACAAGAATCTCATTACATAGCCTAGACTGACCTAAAATTTCTGATCAGTCTGATTGCAGATGTTATACACAAGCACCACTGCTCCAGGCTAGTTTACTATTACTCAAAGGTGACTCTGAAGAGGAAAACCAGAAACTCTTCCTTTAAAGAAAAAGTGACTTAGATGGTTATGGGGCACAACTTTAAACCATGCCCTCTGGAGTTCTGAGTTCAAGGCCAACCTGAGTGAGAAACCCTGTCTTGAAAAACAGAAAGAAAGAAAGAAAGAAAGAAAGAAAGAGAGAGAGAGAGAGAGAGAGAGAGAGAGAGAGAGAGAGGGAGGGAGAGAGAGGGGGAGGGAGGGAGGGAAGAAAGGAAGAAAGGAAGAAAGGAAGAAAGGAAGGTAGGTTAAGTAAGTTTTAGCAGATTAGGAAGTAGTTAAATCTGAGGATGTTGGGGGCTAAAGAGAGCTCAGTGAACAAGAGCAAGTACTGCTCTTCCACAGTACCTGAGTTCGATTCCCAGCATGCACATGATGGCTCACACTCTAGTTCCATGGGATCCAACATCCTCTTCTGGCCTATTCAGACACTTCATGCATGTGGTGTGCAGACATGCAGGCAAACAAACATACACATTAAATAAGTAAATCAGAAAAATAAATAAGAGCTGGGCGCACGGTAACCATTGCTTTAATCCCAGCACTCAGCCGGCAAAGGCAGTGAAGTCTCTGTAAATTCAAGGACAGCCTGGTCTACACAGTGATTTCCAGGACAGCCAGGGCTATGTCAAGAGGCCCTGGCTAAAGATAGATAGATAGATAGATAGATAGATAGATAGATGGATGGATGGATGGATGGATGGATGGATGGATGGATAGATCTGGAGATATTGTGACAAGAAACAAAAGACCCTTAATTACTAACCAAAAGGAAAATGCAAAAATAATTAAAAGTTCCTCAATTTTAAGGAATATCCAAAAAGGTTGGGTGTGACAAAGTTGAAGAGTCAAATAGTATTTGTATAGCATTATCCAGAGAACGTACTTGAAAGTGTAACTAACTCCTAGTATCATTTCTCAACACTGCTAGTTGAAAGCTGCTTATTCCTATCTCAAGTGTTAAGATGTTGCAACTTTGTTTACCTAACATCTGTAATCAAAAGAAAAATAGCCTTTTTCTGAACTTTCCACAACTCACCTCTGCTCCCAAATTACTCAACAAAACAATAAGATCCAAAAATTTCAAGCGATGAAACAGATAATACCTCTTCCTCCTGACACCCCAGCGTTTTACAGTATCATACTCTGCACACATCTATTTCTGATCACAAATAGTAAGACACACGAATGGCTTGGCTGTCTATCCCTCCATTTTTATAAATGTATTTCAGAGATCGAAGTCCACCAAAAGGTGGTTATAAGAAGAGTAATGCTCCACGGGTTATGGTCATTTGCCTGAGGACCCGAGGTAGATCCCTGTGTCCCATGTGGTGGATGGGGAGAAAGATTCCTGCAAGCTGTAGACTACAAACACTCCCTGCTATGCCTACATTCACAGGTACAATATACATACCCACAAAATAAACCAGTATTTTAAACATCGTAAAGAACAGTAAAACAAGTCGAAGGGGAAGAAAGTGTGCAGGCCAGCTCGAAGTATGGTCATGAATGCCTGTACATCAATACAATTTGCATATTAAGTAACTCAGTAATAAAATGATCTGATACTTTTTCAACAGAAGAAAGTCTGCGGAACCGCTAATATTCAAGAGTTCTTCCAAGCTTTACAAGAACACACTAAGAAACTAGCACATCGACTGAATTCAGATACTTCTAGGTGTTTCCAAGCTATCTGTTAGCATTTTCTTAAGACTGCAAAATGAAATTCATGGCTATTTCAGTGCGCTTAGCCTAAACGGTTTCATACAAAATTTACAGGCTACACTACGATAACAAAATTCTTTGAATGTTTTGCTCAGGGAACCCACATCTCCTACAGAAGTAAATAATCACAGCTCATAATCAAACTCGAGTACTGAAGAGCTAAGGCCTGCCTCAGACTCTGCAAAGGGAGTGTCAGGATGCAAGAATAAGCTTCAGGAAGAAAGTGCACCATACACAGGCCGAGAAATCACAGGACAACGGCAGTCGCAGACAGTTGGGCCACGGCACCCAAAGAGCCCCGCAAGGTCATTCAACCTCTTGACAACGACAGCAAGACCTAAAGAACAGCTAGTCTTCCCAAGAGTCCATCCGGAGCAGAAAGGCTGGGGACGTCCCCGGCAGTGCGCGCACAAGAGGTACCGGGTCCACTCAGACCCCCGGGTCCTGTGAACGCGGAGCAGCCATGGCAGAATGCAAGGAAACAGTGTGACAAGCTGGCCAGGCCCCCAAGCCTATCGTAGGGTGGCCCGGGCGATCGGGAACGCGGTGCGGGCCGCGCATCAGGATCGTCCGCGCCCGGAGATGCGCAGCCCGTGGGCCGCCAGCACGCCTCACCTGGCAGAAGCAGCGCTGTGCCGCCGTCTCCGGCCGCCCCTCCTCGCCGTGGCCCGAGCGCAGCAGCCACACGACGCCCAGGAGTCCGACGAGCAATCTCCAACCGCGGCCCATCGCCGCTCGCCACCCACTACCCTCGGCCCGCGCCACCGTGCCTGGCTCCCCGGGGCAGGCCGCGCGCCCGCTAAAGAAGCCTGGGCCCGCCCCGCCCCTCGCCCCGCCCTCCGCGCTCAGCGCTCCCGCCTCCCCTGCGGACGTGCGGCTGCGCGCGCCTCTGCCCACGCGAGCCCCAGGCGGCCGCCTTCCTCTACGACCCACTCACGCACCCGCCTCCGGTACACCTGGCCTGCAGCTCGCCCGGGGTAAAGACTCGGTCTTCCGGGGTCGGGGTATCCCCCCCACCCCCCGCCAGCTACACTGCCCCGGGCCTACGCCGTCCTGCCCTGCCCCGCCCCGCCCCGGAGCTCACACCCGCCCTTCCCTTTCTCACTACGAGGACATCGAGCCTGGGTTACGTGTCCGCCGTGCTCTGGCCAGCTAAACCAAAAGGATGTTGGAATTCATCTCGGGGAGCACGGCCGCACACACGATTTAGTGGCTTTCTAGTTCTTTCCTTTCTACTTCCTACAAAGGGAACAGGTGAAATTGATTTCCAAAGGGCTGGGCTTCGCGGTTTACACCTATAATCCCAACACTCCAGAGACGGGCAGGAGGATTGCTCAATTTCAAAAACAGCTTGCGCTACATACTTCCGGCCCTATAGAGTTAGGCCCTAGTTTATAAATAAATGTTTAAATACAATAATAAATACATGTTTTTATTAAACTAGTATAAGGAAGATGTTAGCTCAACATGTACTCAACTTCCGATTTATTCATAAAATAGTCTTTTTCTTTTTTTGCTGTGTTTTATGTGAATTAGGCATATTTCACAAGCTAGAGCAAGGTGGTGAAGACTACCCAATCTCTCGTTTCATAAGTGGAAATGGGGACAGCTGGTGCTAAGAACTGGAGCCAGACATTGAGAAGCCTTGCTTAGCCTGTTATCTATAGCATATTGAACACATAGTAATATAATATGGCCTTATAAGCTAATATTGTCTTCCCGATATCTATATTCCAGCTCATACCTACCTTTTCTAGAATCAGATCATAGTTTCTCTTTTTCATGTATTCTTCCTGGTGTCCTTTTCACACAGTTCCAGATTCCAAGTAAGTTTCCATTCAATTCACTTTGCAAAGCTGAGCTTGACATGGGGAGTACTCAGATGCATTAGACCCAGCCCGTGTGTGGAGGACACCCACTAAACTGACAATGTCATCATCTTTTCGTTCTTCATTATTTTGTTTTGCTTGAGATAGTACATTTTTATTTTGACGAAGGGTCTCACTGTATTCCTGGCTGATCTGGAACTTACACCGTAGACCATGCTGGCCTCAAACACGCAGAGGTCAATCTGCCTCTGCCTATCTAGAGCTGAGATTTAAGGCCTGTGCCACCACAACCAGCCTTTCAATCTTATTTTTAACTCACTAATAACTGTGTGTATGATGTGATGTTTTCAATCCATATACACATTGTAGGAATACTCAGTTACATTAATATATCCATCACCTCACCAGCTTGACTTTTTCATTCGAGAATGTTTAAGAATAAGCCTATTAGTAATTTCAATGTATTAGTAACTTCCAAGTACACTGTATAAACCATAGCCTCCATGTAATGCCATAGGTCAATAAAACTTTCTTTTCCAATCTAACTGTACCTTTGTGCCCTTGGACTAACTTTCCTTTCTCCGACCTTCTCTAGTTATCTCTTTTCTACAGATTCCATGAGATTGGCTTTTTAAAACTTCACACAAGTGAGATCACACAGTACTTCTCTCTCTGCTCCTACTTCATTCCACTCAGCATGATGTTCTGCAGTTACAGCTGTGTTTCAGGCCATCGCATCCCCTTCTTTATAAGTCTGCACAGTACTCTGTGTCGGGGCACACACACTCACGGGTGTGCTACATCATTTGCTCATCCACTGATGGATGCTTAGTGTGCTCCTGGCTACTATGTGTAATGCTGAGCCACACTGAGGTGCCTACTCAGACTTCAGATGAGTAGCTAGGCTTGGTGGTTCATAGTGTAGTCCCAGCACAAGTTTATACCCAGTCTGGTCTACATTAAGAGTTCAGGGCTATATAACAAGTTCCTGTCTTGAAAAAAAACAACAAACCCACCAAGCAAACAACAACAAAAAAAAGCTAATAAAGCTGGGCATAGTGGTATATTTTAATTCCAACAGAGGCAGGCAGATTGCTGTGTGTTCTAAGCAAGCCTGGGCTACGCATAGTGAGTTCCAGGATGGCCAGAGTTACACAGTAAGAACCTACTAGAAAAAAACAAACAACAACAACAAAAACAAGAAAGACTTGAGACAGGAGGATTATTATGAGTTTGAATCCAGTTGGGGCTGGGGCTACATAGCAAGACCTTGTCTTTAAAAGAATTGAGGAAAAGAATTATGTACATCGTATTTGGGAAATAACAGAGATTCCACAAGAAACTAAACATAGAATTACCAAGGTGATCATTTCCATAAATATCCTTTGTGTATACATCTGAGTGAGTTGAAATTTGTATACTGAATGGATACTTGCCCTCTCCACATTCAATATTTGTATAACATCTTTAGTAACATTTTCTTCCTCATATTTCTACCACTGAATTGAGAACTGTTAAAACCGCTTAAACATGTCCTCCATCCCGAACATACCTTACTTAGACTTCTAGAGTTGTTTGTTTGTTTGTTTGTTTGGGAATGAATAGCTTTTCTTATGACCAAGCACTCTATCATCAAAAATGAGAGACAAAGCAAGGGAAGAGAAATACTAGTGAGTGAGTAAAATACAAGCTTTCTGAAGCAAGCTTGATGCAGCTTAAGATTCTACACTGATGCAAGAGCCTGTAACCTGAGTGAACTTCAAAAGTGTCAGCTTCTCCGTGTGTTCCCAAAGACCTTTAACTCAGTCTTCTGAGTGAGTTTACATCTTCAGTATGCCTTCCTAGGCATATTGTGTGAGGGTCCATGAAATAACTGGCTAGTCATTCAGTAACAATTTCAAGAGTGCCAGGGGATACAAAGTTCAGTCTTTGATTCTGAAAGCCCAGCCTCCTGTTACAACTTCATTCAGCAACATTAAATTGTTGGGAGATGAACTAGATCACAAGTTTGTTATTCTAATACTAGAACAACATCATGACAGACTTAATGCGCACAGCATTTCTTGACAGTATCCTGATTGCTATGTAAATAGCAGCTATTTTTTTTTTAATGAACAAAACAGGAAGGGCCTTGCACCAGTTTCTCAAAATGGGACATGAAGGCGTCAACAGGAAACTTGGTGCCTAAACAATTTCCAGCATTAAACAGACAAGAAAGAAAGAATTTAAAGGAAAAGATGTAGTCCAGGAAGAATGACTAAGCAAAACCTTAAAGGCTTGGTGCCACGTGATTAGACCCAGCTATCTAATCTTTACTGAGTACAAATGTCATATTGTCAGACCTCCCTTACCACGTGATCAGAACTGTCTGAGCTGGAAAGCCACAGCCACTGAAGCTGTCTTTATGTTCAGTTCCTGAGTAAGCAAGCTATGTATTATAGTCCATGACTTCACTTCTTCATTTCTCATTCCTGCCTCAACCTACAGTCCCTCTGGTTTCCAGGTTACCAGCTTTCCTACGGCTCTTTAAATGGCAATATCATCACCAAATTCAATGACCATTTTCCAGGAAGTACATACTGCATGTTGACAAGCCTGAGTCCTCTCTCCTTAAATTCAATATATGATGTAGGAACACTTCAGGTTCTCTTTATGACCTCCTCCTTTTGTCTGTCTCAGCATGTAGTCCAGGCTGGACTCTAATTCACTGGCTTCCTGCTCCAGCCTTCCAAGTGCTAGTATTACGGGATAGGCAGCCACACCCTGCTCTCCTTATTCCTTCCTGATATTATTTAACTATATCCTTCACGATCTTTCCCATAGTCCACTTTTAAGATGTGACTACTCCCTTGGGATTCCATCTATCTTTTAGTATCTCCTAGAGAACATAGCTTAGTCCCATAATGTTAAATACCTTCTCTACACTCAAGATTTCCAAGTGTATATTTCTAGTTCAGTCTCTCTCTAGAGCTTCACAGTTCAACTGTCTGTTGGACGACACATACACACCTGCTTTTTCTAAGAGACAATTGGTCACACTATCTGTGGCCAGGCATCTGGAAAGCAGGAAGATACATTGGGCTTCTTTCTGGTTTCCTTTCCGATCCCACAATCTTTTGATGTACCATGTCCTGACAGGCTGCCCTCTACAAGAATCTTCGATTTTTCTTCTCCACCACTCCACTATGGAGAAGAACTGAGCTATGGCCTTTATTATTTCTCAGATAATTTATTTCCTCATTCCCCTCACTGATCAACTGACCTATAGATTTATATCCCTCAAAAACAAACAAACAAAAACAAACAAACAAAAAAAACATGAACACCCTCTACCCAAGGCCAGTTTCTGAAATATGTAAATCTTATCACATTACAAATCTAAGTTTTCCAATGCTTCCAGCTATTTGAAAAGTTAAACTCACGACTCTCAACATGACATTCACGATCCCTTATGATCTGACCCTGCTACTTGGGCTTCATTTCCAACACTTCTATCTTTAACATGATGGATTGTTGACAGTTTCCCTCCAAATGGCATGTTTTTCAGGTTCCACATCTTTTCGCACATGAAATGAGTTTGAAAATTCGACATTTTTCCTCTTTATCTTGTTCTTCTGTAATTGTACACACCATAGGGAATGAGCAATCCCTGTCTCTGTGTATGTTCTCTGCATTCAACACATGGTAGAGACCTTGACTTGATATTTTTAGCTCCTTACTCCTCAGTAAAGTGTGTATTACAAAAGGTGAGTCCTGGGTGAAATGATGAATGTACAAGTAAATTAACCAATTAACAAATCTAAAAGGATAATGACAGTTTAAGGTAGCACTGGACAATGTGTTGTTTAAAAAAAACAAATCAAAGTAAATGCTGTAAAGCTTACAGGACAAACAGCCAACTGTAGTCCATTAGAGGAAAGTAATAATTGTGAATGAGGTGAAAAAACACTGAAATTAGAAAACTTTACAAGAGGTA